AAGGTATAGTGAAGAAACAATCTTTTAAATCAATACCTGTAAGGGCCATCCTTTAGGCAATAGAGAAAGCAAAGGAATGCCAGACTGTGTAGAGTCTATTGACTAAATTACCTTATCAACAGCTCTTAGATCTGTCACCATTCTTCATTTTCCAGATTTCTTTTTAACAACAAATACAGGAGAATTCCAAGGTTCTTCAATATGTTGATTATCTAGCTGCTTCTGTACCAGCTGTTCTATAGCCTGCAGTTTCTTTATTGTTAAAGGCCATTGCTTAACCCATACAGGTTTGTCTGTCAACCATTTTAAAGATGGGGCTGTTGGTGCCTTTGAAATATCAGCAGCTGTTGTGCCCTGTTCTTGTACAACCTGAATGGTTGGTGACTGTTCTTTATAAGGTCTTCTAATATTTTTCCCAGAAATATACATTAATTTATGGTTTGTTTCTAATATCAGGAGAATGTTAATCTGAGTATTCCATTGCTGTAACAAATTATGTCCCCACAAATTCATTGCTATGTTAGCCACATATGGTTTTAATTTTCTTTCTGGCCCCATATATTCAGCCCATTTCATGTTCTGCTTTACCTGAGATAAAGTTCTGATCCCTCAAAACTGAACATTTAGATCCTGAAGAGGCCAGTTTGGATGTCAAGAGTCTGATGAAATTAGTGTTATATCCGCACCTGTGTCTATTAGACCTTCAATGACAACATTATTTATTCATAATTTTAATTTTAGTCTTTGTTTATAGAAGTTTGCCAAAATACTCACTTTATGGTTTCTCTTGAATATTTTGTTTTCTTTTCTATAGCTGTTCTATCATCCAGAGCAATATGGTTTCTTACAATAGGCATTAGGTTCTTTAATTGCTCAGGCAAGGAGTTTCCTCTACAATGGCAGGAAGTAACCGAACTGTATTTGACAGGGAGCCTGTGAGAGGCCCTACATAGAGCTTCCACAACAACAAAAGATTACCTTGACTGTTCCTTGTTGACCTACATTCATTAGTTCAGTGCCTGCCTTTGCCACACCTTCTGCATAATCCAGAAGGGAGGGGCTTCTAAATGGTTTATTCTTAGAAAAAACATTGTTTCTAGGAACATCCTGTCTACGGTCCCTTTTATGGTGACCTTGTGTGCCATAATTATAACACTTGACATTTCTAATTTTTTCTCAAATCTCTAAAAATCACCTCTCCTATCCATGCATCATCATATTCATGAGACTTAATATTAATTGTATCTTGAATCCATTTCTTCAAAGGTGCTGGTCTTGCCTTCAATGGCCTAATTATCTTTTTGTATAGACAGTTGGCATTTTCAAAAGCCAGAGATTCAATTATTATTTGTCTAGCTTCTGAATTTGAAATCATTCTATTTACTGCTGAAGTCAGTCTTTATAAGAAATCTGTGAAAGTTTCTTTTGGGGCCATGTATGACTGTAAAAAATGATTCAGTCTTTTTTTTCCTGCTTCTTCAGTTCTGTCCCTAGCATTCAAAACTGCTACATGGCATAAAGCCAGCATGTAACCATCATTGAGAGATTGTCTTTCTACAATAGCATAATTTCATTCTTCAAGAATTTGATCTTTGGAGATTTCCATGCCTCTAACTTTACTCTGTTCAATATTCTTAGCCTCTTCTCTGAACCAGGTATGCCATTGTAACTGTGGACCAGTCTCTAAAACATGTTTAACCAATTCTATTCGATCTTTAGGGATAATTCTATTACAAACTGACCATGAGTTTAACATTTGCTTCACAAAAGGTGAATGCATGCCACATGAGACTACTGCTTCCTTGAATCTCCTGAAATCTGACATGGGCGCAGGAGTCCGTGCAGCTCGTACTCTCTGTTATTTGGCAATTCCTGTATGGTTACTGGATATATTAAAGTTGGTTTGAAAACCTTAGGATGTTTCTCTCTGTTTTTAAAATGCAACGCTGAAATTGATTTTCCATTAAATTCCTCTGGGTTTGAATATCGCTGGGATCTGTTTTATTAAGTTTTTTGAAGGCCTGTATCTTAGCCCTCAGATTAACCAACTTCTTTAGTGATACATTAAAAATGATAAAGCTGATAAAGTTTACAATTGAAATTACATAAATTCCATCTAAATTAGATCTCCTCTCCATTTAACTGTTCTGGTTTCAAACTGTCTAGCATATTATCTTACAGAAACATAAATTCCTCCATTGTAATGTTTTTTTGCCCATTTTTTAATGTGGGAAGAAACCTCTTTTAGCCATTCCTTCAGAGAATTCCCAATTGTCAGCTGGGCAGTGGTGGTGCATGCCTTTAATCCCAGCTTGGGAGGCAGAGGCAGGCAGATCGCTGTGAGTTCGAGGCCAGCCTGGTTTACGAGAGCGAGTTCCAGGACAGGCACCAAAGCTACAGAGAGAAACCCTGTCTCAAAAAAACTAAAAAAAAAAAAAAAATTCCCAATTGTCTTTCCAAATGTACCAATGATGTTGATGAAGCTGCCAGAGAAGAGGGTCAGGGAGAGCCTGCAACCCATGGTAGATAGTGGTAGGGAGAGAGACACAGAGAGAAGTGGGGTGGAGAGGAGAGAGAAAGTAAGCGAGCGAGCTAGCCGTCTGAAAAAACACTGGGGGGGGGGGAGCACACGTGGAGAGAGACTCCCTAAAGGCAGAACCAACCAGCCAGTATAGGGCCCGTGATTCCTGTGGCGTTTGGAGCCCAGGTACTTCTGGAGTTCGGGTGTTAGCTGCAGAGTATTTCAGAGAAGCTACATATACAATAGGAATATCTTCAATTCTCTCAGATTCTTGGAGAAGGAAAGAAGGCCTAGCTGGGTGGGACTGAAACCCCACATGCAGCTTCTGCGGGAGCCCCACATACAGCTCCGGCTTGTACCAGTGACTAAAAAGTCACAGGCAAATGGCTTTTTCAGAAATTCGTATCCCAAACGTTGGGCACCATATATAGCATGAATAATTAAAACCCAGAGACAGATATTTGAGTTCAACCTGAAGATCAGAAAATCAAAGCCATTAAGCCACTAGAGAGCTCTTACCTCTATGAAATCTTCAGACTGAAAGAAAGAGAGCGAGTTCATGTCTTATCCTGCCTTATATTCCTCCCTAGTGCTGGAATTAAAGGCGTGCACCACCATTGTCCTGTCTCTATGGAAAACTAGTATGGCTACTGGGGTTAAAAGTATGTGCCACCACTGCCTGGCCTGTATGGCTGACTAGTGTTACTGTTTTGTGTTCTGGCCTTCAGGCATGCTTTATTTATTAAAATATAAATGAAATATCACTACAGAGGTTGAGTCAGGTGCATGCATTTCTCCAGACATTATGCTTTTGGAATGGGACATAATGAGAAGTCTGAATGGTAACTTCTAGAAGGAATTGGAAGGAGCAATCTGTTTCACTTTGTTTCTCTGGCACTCTGAAAGAAAATGAAATTCTATATGTTTGTGGGAATCCGCTTCCTAAAAGACCTGGCTTGGATCAGATGTAGTGACACACGTCTTTAATCCTAGCACTCAGGAGGCAGAGGCAAGTGGATCTCAGTGAGTTTGAAGCCAGTCAGGGCTACACAGAGAAAGCCTTTCTCGAAAAACCAGACTAAAACAACAAAAAAATACCTGGTTTGGAGACTTAATGATCTTGAATAGGTAACAGCAGTCATAAATGATCTAAATATCTTAATTTGGACTGGAGAGATGGCTCAGTGATTAAGAGCACACTGCACTCTTCCAGAGCACATGAGTTCAGTTTCCAGCACCCATGTAAGGTGCATCACAACCTCCTGTAACTCCAGCTCCAGGGAATCTAGCTTCCTCTCTTAGCCTCTGTTCCTACACCCATGGCACATGCTTACACAAAGACATGTATCCATACACATTATTAACACTAAATTTTTTTAAAAAGGAATATCTATATCTAAATTAGTTTCCACACATATTTTTAATAGTTACATTTGGATCTATTAATACCCTAAGTTTAGAAATGTACTGCAATGTGAAGGATTTACACAGAGCAGAATAGCCAAGTATCTAGATGTGCCACCTGCCTACCATGTTGGAGGGATAACCTGTCATGTTAGAGCCTTTCCTTCTCGAGGTTAGTGGAAGTCCCTTTTGCTGGCTCCCATACACAAGTTTAAAAGCAAGGAAAGAGGGGCAGATGAGCACTTGTACACATGCCCGACACCTGGAGTTCAATCCCTGGATCCCACAAGGTAGCAGGAGAGAAGTGACTCCTGAGAGTTGGCCTCTGACCTCCACACACCCACAGTGACTAGCCTGTACTCACATACTCGAGCACACTCACTCACTAACTTGAGTCAAATTAATACATTGAAAGAAAAGGCCATGCTAATTGGAAACAGTTGTTTGGGGTAGTTATCTTCTGGTGAGAGAATCGAAAGGAGGCTTTTATTTCTGAACATGGAACAGATGAGATGAATTGCCGCCTCATCTCTGGGGTGAGAGTTATTAGGAATAGTCTAGCTTTTGCCTCTTATAAAAATTAGGATGCTATTTTTTTGTTGTTGTTTTTTGTTTTTCAAGACAGGGTTTCTCTGTGGCTTTGGAGCCTGTCCTGGAACTAGCTCTTGTAGACCAGGCTAGCCTCGAGCTCACAGAGATCCGCCTGCCTCTGCCTCCCGAGTGCTGGGATTAAAGGCATGCGCGATCACTACCTGGCTAGGATGCTATTTTTTAAATTTAATTTCTGTCCTGCATACTTCATAGATGCCTGCTTATCCTTCCTTCCTTAGTGATAGTCTAGGCAATGCGGCTTTGCAGAGGCCAGTGTCCTTGCTGTCCTGCGTATTCCCCTGTCTCCCACACCCTTTTCTTTCTTTTAGCTTTTCAAAGTTTAGTGGTGCCACTTTACTGTGAAGGAAGTTTCTGGAGAGCAGGCTATTATTGCCTTCCTAAAGAGGGACAGTTAAGTAACACCTGGTAGTTTAGCTCCGTTTTCAATCTGTGGTAATGTCTTTGTCTTACTGTTTTGATCTAGGATGATCTCAAAACTCGAAACCCAGGTGAAACAAGTAGAGCATGAGAATACGCTGAGTCTTCGTCACAGCGCTAGAGCTCCCACGAGGCCATCCCGGGCCAAGTAAGTGACTTCACATAGTGTCCTTGCAGCAAGAAGTAGTACATGCCTCTAATGAGGTCCTCTGTTAATTAGGAAGCTGGAGCTAAATATCCTTATGGTCTTAAATGTGCATTAAAGTCACAATCGCTGGATGTCATTCAGAGCCCTACAAAGAAGCAGTTTCGAGGCTTAGAAAAGCACAGAGTTAGGTGGGCATTGTGTTCTTGATGCTGTCTCCAGTGCTCTCCACATCTCTTACTTTTTTAAAGACCTTCTTTTTCCTTGTAAGCAACTTTTTAAAAAAAGACTTATTTCTATTGTTTTTAAGTATGTGTCTGTGCGGGTATTTATGAACTTGAGTCGAAAAGCAGGTGACAGGTTCCTGGAGCTGGAATTCCTGGAAGCTGTGAGCCACCTGACATGCGTCCTAGGAGCTCAACTCAGGTCCCTGTGAAAGAGCTATGAGCACCTTTATCCTCTGAACCATCTCTCCAGCCCTAAGTCATTTTTAATGAGAGTTATAGATGAGATTATTTTATTTCTATGTCTTTTCAAGCGTTTCTTCCTTATATTTGCTTTCCATCATTTTCCTGCTTGGTGAGATTTGGCTCTCTGTTCCAGAATCTTTTTGTGTTCCTTGTTCTTTGCTGAGGCAAATACCCATATGGACAGTTGTGCCATTAACCTACTCTCCACTGTCCCCTTTCAATGTGGATGACAGCCAGGCATGGTGGCATGTGCCTCTTTAATCTCAGTATTTAGAGGCAGAAGCAGGTTGATCTCTTTGAGTTTGAGGCTAGCCTGCTTAGCAAGTCTCATTCCAGCCAGGGCTACATAGAGAGACCCTGTCTCAAAAACAAAACAGCAAACCCCAATGTGAATAGCATATTTTTTTCTATAAACTCGACTGAATTGCTAATCTGCTGACCTTTGTAGTGTCCTCCCACAACCCGAACCCCATAATTTTTTTTCTGATGGGTGTAGAAGACATCGCCCTGTCTCCCAGATCTTTGAAAAGAAGAGAAATAGTTGGAAATAGTGGTGTACTTGGGTGGCAGAGGCAGGGCGGGTCTCTGAATTCAAGGCCAGCCTGGTCTGCGTAGTGAGTTCCATGACAGCCAGAGTTACATAAAGAGACCCTGTCTCAGAAAAAAGAAAAAAAAAAAAAAACCGAAAGGAAGGAAGCAAGGAAGAAAGGAAAGGAAAGAAAAAAAATGAAGAAAACCCTCGAGTGTGGGATGCAGCCTTGGTTTGTTTTATGGTTTTTGCTTCATTCAAAGTTGTGCAGGGTGGAACTTCATTTTAGCAGCTGTCTCTGTGGCCACAGCTTCAGAGGGAGCACAGTTTCTTACCTGTAAGAACAAGGACACTGGACTAGAGAGCGTTGTAAAGCTTTAGCACTAAAACCCTACACGACTTTCTTCTGTTAGTGGAGAGACCTTTGAGGATGGATCTCTTTTAAGTTGTGGTTTTCTGTGTTAGTTCTTTCAGAATTAGCTTTATTGTAATCTTTAGTTTAGTACTCATTTTTGGGACAGTCCTACTTTGCAGCCCTGGTTGGCCTCCTGCTTGCAGTGATGCTCTTCACTCTGCCTCCAGACGCTAAGATTACAGGAATATGCTGCCCAGCACAGTGCCACCTGGATGACACATTTACAGAAGAAGGATTTTATCTATCACAATTTGGTTTTTAATTATGATTTTTATGTAAGCTATATTAATGAGTAGATCATTATTTCATAATTATGTCTGTCAGAAAGAAATTAAATTGTGATTTCTAGCCTTTCTAAGTCATAATTGTTAAAACACTATCTAGATCTTTGTTTAGCAATTATAATACAATATAATGGATTCTTATATTTAAAAGAAAAGTTAGGTCCTGTAGAGATGACGTAGTAATTAAGGGCACTCACAACTCCAGAAGAACCTGAGTTCTTAACATCCATGTTGGCAGCAAACTATTGCTTGTTACTCCACCTTCGGGGGATGTGACACCCTCTTCTCAGCTCTGTGGGAACTGCACTTATATACATGAGCCTACATTCACATACAGATACCTATAATTAAAAAATAAAAAAATGTCTTTTAAAATCTTTTTTAAAAAGTAAAGAAATAGCCAGATGGTGGTGGTGCACGCCTTTAATCCCAGCACTCGGGAGTCAGAGGTAGGCATATCTATATGAGTTTGAGACCAGCCTGTTCTACAGAGCAAGTTCCAGTACAGGGGTCAAAATTACACAGAAACCCTGTCTCAACCCCCACCCTTCCACACACACACAAAGGAAAGAAATATTGGGCATATTTGATTTGTCTCAGCAGGTAAAGACAATTGCCACAAAGTATGATGACCTTAAACCCACATGGTGGAAGGAAAGAACCAACTCCTAAAAGTTGCCTTCTGACTTCCACATGTGAGCCAAGACGTGCATGTGTACCCACCTCACAATTTAAAAATTAATAAGTCTTAAAAGAGAAAAATTAGCTAGATGTGGTGGTGTATACACTTGCAGTCCCAGTTCTTGGGAGGTGGATATAGGAAGATATATATCCTATATCCAACAGGGTCATCCAGTTGATACCAAGCCTGGGCTATGTAAGACCTCATCTCAAACAAATAAAAGCATAAACCAAACCAAACCAAACCAAAGGAACCAAAGGTAAAAACTGAATTTCTGAGAATAAGCAAAAGAAGAGGCATAATGTTGGGTAGAAGGGGAGTCCTTCAGTGGGTTGGGATGCAAGGTGCCAGGATTTTGTGGGCGCTGTTCATTCGTATAGTTAACAGGCAGGAGGCAGAGTGAGTGTATGACCTTCAAAGGCCTGACCCTACTGACCTCTTCCCACCAGCTAGGCCCCATACCCCTGAGGTTCCATAATCTCCCAAACAGTGCCAGCATCTCAGGAGCAGCTGTGAAAGCACATGAACCTGTAGGGACGTTGATATTTACGCCATGACGCATGACTTAGACAGCCACAGCAGGAAGTTATGCAGCCCTCCGTGAACTTTCTAAGTCACGGTCAGGCATTTGGATTTTACCCTAAGTCCATTGAGAATCCTCTCAAAGATTCTTATTTTATTTTCGATTTTTTGAGGTAGGGTCTGTCTGTGTAGTCCTGGCTATCCTAGAACTTACGATGTAAACTTGGCTGCTGGCCTCAACCTGGTCATTCTACTTTTTTATCCTGAGTGCTGGAATTAAAGGCATGTGCCATTGTGTCTGACAAGGATTTTAAAGATCTATATTGTGTGTGTATATGTGTGTGTGTGTGTGTATATGTGTGTATGCGTGTGTATGTATGTGTATGTGTGTCTGTGTCCACTTGCCATTGTTTACATGGCAGCTAGAGGATAACTCTCTGGAATCAGTTCTCTGTTTCTACCTTTCCATAGATTCCAGGGCTCAAACCCAGTCTTTTGAGGTAAGTACCTTACGTACCGAGCTGTGACCTTGGCCCCTGAAGATTTTTATTAGAAAACAATGCCATCTGACTTTTGCTTTTTTAAAATTCTTGCCAAGAGAAAGAGATGAAACAGGAGAGCATGGAAACAGTAGATGAGTTAGGCCATTTCAGTGCGAGGAGAGCAGGTTTCTGGGTATCTGGATCTGTAAGAATGAGGCCAAGGAGGCAGCTCAGTATACAGAGGTGCTTGCTACCAGGTCTCACATCCTCATGGTGGAAGAGAGCCAACTTCCAAAAGTTGTCCTCTCACTTCTACACACGTACCGTGGCATGTCTATGCACACACGGAATAAGTAAATGTAATAAGACTACCTTTTTTATTTACAAGAAAAAAGAATTTGAAAGGTTTTGGAAGTATAATCCACAGAACATTGTTGTATCTTGGCTGGTGAGGCAAGAGATCGAGAACACCAAAAGCTGCCATGTGTTGAACTGAAGACAAGATCAGAGTGCCTGGCATGGGAATTTTTGCTTGGGATTCACGCGGACTTGAAGCAGAAATCAAGTGGGCAATGGTAAACTTAGGCTTGGATGTCCAAACTCCTAAGTGGGAGGTACAATGTTGGAGTCGGTTATTTGCCAGCAGTGCTTACAGCTACAGGATTGATAGGAACTGAGTGTCAGTGGGAGTGGGCACAAGACAGAGCTCCCAGGAACCCTGCTTCTATGCTGGGGAGAGGAGTTTGGCAAAGGAGCCTTTGAAACTGCTGCTGGAAGTGAGGAGGGAAATTGAAGCAGCTATCGGTTAGAGCAAGGACTGAAAAGGCCTCTTGGATTTACAAGCTGGGGGCTTCTTTAACTCAGGAGAGTGGATAGTGAGAGAAGTGTTGAAGGTGTATTGAAGACATTCTGCACATCGAACAGATGGAAGTGCATATGTTGTGATATGCTTATTCATGGTGGCCATGTGTGAAAGGAGAGGCTTGGCAGACTGTAGCCTTTAGGCCAAAGCCAGGCTACACCAACATTTTTTGGTGATGTGTATGACTGAGGAATTTTAAGTATTTGGTCAGGACTGGGACTTGTGTGGCTCAGTTGGTAAAGCACTTACTTTACAAGCTGAAGGGCCTGAGTTAGAGCCCCAGAGCCCACATGAAAATTCTAGGTGTGGGGCTGGAGAGAGGGCTCAGCACTTAAGAGCACTGGCATCTCCTTCAGAGGACCTGGGCATCTACATGATGGTTCACAACGGTCTGGAATTTCAGTTCTAGGAGAGCTGACACCCTTTTCTCAGGCATACATATGGTGCACAGACCTACAGGCAGACAAAACACTCATACATATAAAATAAAATAATTAAATTTAAAAAATGCCAGATGTGATAGTATCTCTTCTAATTCTAGCACTGGGAAGTTGGAGATAGGAGGATTCCTGGTACTCACTGGCTGTCACTCTAACCTAATTGAATTCTAAGCCAATGAAAGGCCCTATCTCAAAGGAGGTGAACAGCCTTTTTGAGGATGACATCTGAGGTTGTCCTTTGGCATCCATGTGAATATACATACATGCATAAGAAATATTTGGGAACCAGGCGGTGGTGGTGCACACCTTTAATTCCAGCACTTGGGAGGCAGAGGCAGGTGAATGTCTATGAGTTCAAGGCCAGCCTGGTCTATAGAGCTAGTTCCAGGACATCTAGGGCTGTTACACAGAGAAATCCTGTCTCAAAAAACCAAAATAAAAAAAAAAGAAGAAAAAAGAAAAAGAATATTTGGGGCATGTCTTTAATCCCAGCACTCAGGAGGCAGAGACAGACAGATCTTTGAATTCAAGGCCAGCCTGATCTATATCATGAGTTATAGGTCAGCTAGGGCTAAAGGACTATCTATATTTTGATGTTGATGTAAGGAAGAAAAAATTGATTCATTTACATAACATCTTCCTGCTTTTGCATGACAACAATGAAGTTGAGTATTTGGTGATAAATATTGTTTGTCCTGTAAAACCTAGAATAATATTTTTTTTTCTTTTGCCTTTTGTAGAAAAAGGTGTTACAAATGTCTCATCTGGACTGTCAATTTGTATTAATTTTAAGAGTATAATATAGAATTAAAAACTGGTTGAGGAAGAAATAGAATACTTTTTGCTTTTCAAAGTGCTGGTGACTGGGGTCTGCAAGATGGTTCAGTGGGTAAAGGCCCTTGCTGCAAAGTCTGAAATGAATTTGAACCCCGGATCCACATAGTGGTGTTGGACCCTAGAGACCAATCACCGAGGAGGAGTCTCCCCCTCAGAGACGGTCTCATACCACCACAGCTGATGTAAAAGCATGAGGATTTTATTAATTCTGTCATGACAGGGTCTTCCAGCATTCAGGAGGCTAGAAGATCCCGAATGTCTGGTACAGGCTATTTTTAAAGGGAAAAACCACAGAAGGAAGGGGTGTCTGGGGGTAATTCTTTAACTGTTATGATTGGCTTATTCAAAAGGGCTATTACCAATAATTGACTGGAGAGTGGTTGCCAGATCAGATGAGATAAGGGAAAACATCTGAGGGTCACTTTGCCCCTTTCCCAGGGCCTAAGTCAAAGCATCAGTCACTGAGTCAACACCTAAGGGTTATCTTGCCCCTAGTCAATAACTGAGTTCTATTTGGAGAACATTCACAAGGACTCAGGGAGATGATGGAAAGTTCCCAACATTTCAGTATGTGTGTGGGCAATTGTTAGGTCCTTGGTTCCCAGGGGTGAAGTGGGGAGCATTACTGCTGAGACTGAGAATTGTCAGAAATGGCTTCAGAGTTCCACAGTGGAAGGAGAAAATCAACTCCTGCAAGTTGTACTTTGAGCTTCCCAAGTGCTCCATGACATGTGCATATCCTCCCCAATACATACATCTATAAACAAAGTAAATTTTTGAAAAAGAAAATCGACAAGCATTTATTCGGAAAATACAGTTTACTAGGGTCTTTGTTTGTCAATGATCCTTCCACATTATAAGATAACCATGTGTTCTTTTAAGTCTATACCAAGTCAAGTTAGCGTGCTTTCCAGGTAAGCCGTAACTGTTTCTTCTGTTATTAGTAAAGTAACCTGAAAATATTACAACAAAATCACTGAAGTGCTGGTGATAAGACCCGGGGCCTGGAACATGCTTGATAACTAGTGTTACTAATGAGCTGCATCTTCCTGACCTCCAGTAGGAAAGAACTAATACCAACTCAGCATGTACAATAGTTCTGAGTGTCTCTTGGGATCCTACAAATGCAATCAGTCTTAAGATCGTGTTAAGGACGAATTGAGAATGGTAGCTTCTGTGAGCAGGGAAATACAGGACTGACGAGGCTCAGCAGGGCTTTAATTGTATTTGTAGTGAAAATCTAAGGGGTGTGGAGCAGAGTGAAGACCATGCTGAGCATTACCTGTATGTCCATACATGCTTGAAACCTTTAAAGGAAATCCATACATTTTAAAACTATGTGTGCACTGCTTATGTGAGGTGACTAGAGGACAGCTTTCCAGAGTCAGCTCTCTTCTTCCGCCACGTGGGGATCCGACTCAGGTCTCAGGGTTAGTGGCAAGCACTCCTACCTACTGAGCCATCTCACTGGCTCGTTCGTATGTGTGTCTGTGCCTGTGTATGACTTTTATTTTAATGAGCAAGAAAAATAAAGGATGAGTATTCAGAATACAAAAGATCTATCACAACTCAGTAAGAAAGAGACAATTTCCTCCACAGAAAGGTGGTGAAGGGATGTGAAGCTGCACAGAAAAAGAAAAAACAGCCAATAGCAGTGAAGAGATGCTTATTGTCCTAAGAAACTAGGAAAATGCCAGTTAAAGTAATAGTATGTACCATTCCCATCATCAGACAGGCCAGACTTAATTTGTTCCAAAGTTTGGTAAAGGTGAAGAAAGGAACTCAGCACCAATGGCCAATCCCAGGCGATAGGGTTTGTCTAGAGTATGATTTGTCAGAAGACTGAAGGTGATGGCTGTACCCCACATTTTATGGTTGTGTTTTTAGAAATTTAGGTCACTTCTTCCACATGTTAATTGTAGCATTATTGAAACAGCATCTACCATCAGGAGACACAATCAGACTGGAGAAATGACTGACAGCTCTGCATGCAAACATGAATAAATCATGAACATGCGGTTGCAGAGAAGACGTATTGAAGGGTGTGGATAGTGTGCCCTTGTTTAACAAACACAGCTATACATATGTATACAATGTTATGTCTCACAATTAAAAACAAATATGGCCAAGATCTAAGCATCTGTTAAAACCGAGAGTAGGTAGGTGGGTGCTTGTTGTATTCTCTGTGATTTTCTCAGAATGTTCAAAATGTTTCTTCATTTAAAAATTGAGGGAAGGGGCTGGGGTGTAGCTGTGGCCGAGAGCCTGCTTAACAGTGCACAAGGCCCTGGGGCAGGTCCCAGCTCACCAAGAGATCTTTTTTAAAAGAACAAAAGTGACCTGGGGTTAAAGTGAAAATTGTGGGAGGTTGTGGCGCGTACCTTTAATCCCAGTACTCAGGAGGCAGAGACAGATGGATCTCTTGAGTTCAAGGCCAGCCTGGTCTATAAAGTGAGTTCCAAGACAGCCAGAAACCTTTAAAATAAGATTCATTTTTTTCAAGTATAGGTTGCCCATATGTGGTTTCTAAGTCACTGTGCAAATATGTAAGTCAAACTTGGAAATAGGTTGTTCTGATATAAACGTTCTAAGTTGAAGAGCAAGGGGGTTGGAAAGATGGCTCTATGGTTAAAAGCACTAGTTGCTCCTCCAGAAGACCTGAATTCAATTCCCAGCACCTATATGGTGGCTCATAGTTATCTCTAACTCCAGTCCCAGGGCATCTAATGCCCTGTTTTGACCTTGTTGGGCACCACACACACATATGCACAGACAAAGCATCCACCCACGTTTTATATACATAAATTTTCTTTAAATTGAAGTGCAGACTTTGTGATGCCATGGAATGTTTCCTATCCTTACAGCACACTGGCGACCTCAGATGTTAGTAGGAGAAAGTGGCTGATTCCAGGAGCAGAGTATTCCATTTTTACTGGGCAGCCTCTGGACACCCGAGACAGGAAGACAGATAATCAGTTGGAGGAATCCCGTGTTCCCGGGTGAGAGAACTGCTGAGGGCGGCTGAGGAGTGCTTTCATAGAGACAGAACTGTCTCCCGTAAAGGAACTAGTCAAAAGTTGGGCTGTGGAGGGGGCAGGGGTCAAGAAACAGTTGTTTTGGGGTTTTTGCCTTCTCTTTGAAAATGGACCTGAGGTTCTTCCTGGATGAGGAGAGTGGACAACTCAACTGTCTTTCAGAAGTAGGGCTTCCCCGCTGTGGAGGGTACCCACTCTAGATAGTGTTATGAGTAGATGCAGCTGGGTGACTCTTCCAGCAGCTCAGCTGTGAGGGGGACAGGATGCCTTGGTCGAACTCCTGATCTTCTGCTTTTCACCTCACCCCACCCGTGCTGGAATTCTAGGACCATTAATTTTTTTACTATTTTAGCTTCAAGGCTGGTTTAGGCATTTCTTTTTTTGTTTGCACAAAAAGCACTTATAGCAGTGGCTCCATCTCTCCATCCCTGAGAGGCTAATGCTTTTCTTTTCTTTTTATTTATTTATTTATTTATTTATTTTAGAATTTTAGAATTTTTTTACCTTCATAGGCTCTGCAGTGCTTCTCTGTATGCCCAGGGCATAGTGCAGGCTTGTTAGGACAGTGGGATAATCCTGTCACTCTTGACATAGCAAGCTCAACTGTGTACTCTGTAAATCTTGATCATCCTCCTGCTTCAGCCTCCTGAATGCTGGGGTTGCAGGCATGCGTGTGCCATCAGACCTGACTTCCTCCCTCTTTTCATAAGGACCTTCCAGCCCATTGTGCAGCTCCTCCTTATGACCTGTCTGAACTTCATTTCTTTTTAAAGGCCCCCAATTCCAAATGCGTCCAGCTAAGGTTAGGCTGTTATCTGTACATTATGGGATAGGGACATGGAAACGTTCAGCCCACAGCAGTTAAAATTGCAGCTACTGTTTTAGATACCATTCTCCTCCAGAAAAGGACTCTTCCCTTGGATGTTCACCTTCAAGCTTATTGATTAAAAAGCAGAGGGATGCTCCAGACACACCAATCGTGAAAACTTTAAAGGAACTTGATGATGAAAGAATATTTAAGAATTGGGGGACACAGACAGAGAAAGAGGATACCTCAAGTAGTAAGTATTTTCTTATTAGTTTTAAGATTTATTGATTTTGTTTTACATCTATGAGTGTTTTGCCTGCATGTTTGAATGTGCACATGTAAACCCGGTACTCATGGAAGTATCAGATCCTCTGAACCTGGAGTTATGAATGCTTGTTATGAATCCACACAGCCGCTGTGTGGATGCAGAGAACTGAACCCAAGCCCTCTATAAGAGCAGTACGTACTTCTGATGAGCCATCTTTCTAACCCCCCTAATTAAGTAGTATTTTGTTCCTTATTTGATATTGGAAGAAGTATCTGCTCTTTTCCTTAATTTTTAAAATTCTCTCTCTCTCTTTCTTTCTTTCTTTCTTTCTTTCTTTCTTTCTTTCTTTCTTTCTCTTTTCCATTTGTTTGTTTTGTGTTTTGGGACAGGATTTCTCTGAGTAACAGCCCTGACTGTCTTGGAAATCACTCTATAGATCAGACTGGCCTCAAATTCATAGGCCTACCTCCGTCTCCTGAGTACTGGCGTGCACCAGCACCATCTGGCCCCTTTTCCTTAATTTATGTTATAGTCTTTAAAATTAAATTTTCAGCCAATTAAGGCAGTGCATTTCTTTAATCCCAACACTTCCAAGGCAGAGGCAGGAGCTTGAGGCTATCCTGGTCTACATGTTCCATATCTTCAAAAAATAAGATAAAATTCTCAGGTAATGAAATTAAGTCCTGATTTATGATACTGCTCCAACCCCATTTCATAGATAAATGATCCTTAATAATAATTTATCTTTGTCCTAGCATATCATGTACCTTTCATACGAAGCTAACTGCATATTGCGTTTGATTATTTAAAAGGCCTAGTGAGATAGCTCAGTGGTTAGCTGCACTTGTTTTTGCAGAGGACATGGGTTCAGTTCCTAGCATCTACATGGTAGCTTACAACTCTTAGCTCCGGTTCCACGGGATCTGTAGGCACCTGCAGTCATGTGCACATACCCATATGCCGATATACACACCTGCATATAACTAAAAATAATAAAGAAAATAAGGTCCACGTGAGCTGGGCTGTGCAGGCGTATCATCCCACTTCTATGTGCTGAGGTAGGGGAATTGAAATCATAGCCTGCCTGGGCTACCGAGTGAGTTTGTCTGCATCTGTTTGTCTAACTTGCACATGTTGGGAAATTGTGGCAGTCATCTGATATTCATAAAACAAGGAGTAAGATGGCCGGGGGGTACATGCCCATTGTCCCAGCATTCAGAGGCTGAGGCAGCAGGATCCAGAGTGTCAAAAATAGAAAAAAAAATTTTTTTTTCCCTATTCTTCCTTCTTTTTTCTGGCTACTGAGCATCTCTAGAGAGTAAGAGGAATATCTTTCAAGGTGTTCTTTCCCCCAAGTCTAAGTACCTCTCTCTGTTTCTGCCCTCTATCCCTATCTCTTCACCCTACAGCTTTTTCTCTTTGCCCTCCATCTCTCTGAGACAAGATTTCACATAGCCCAGAATAGCCTGGAACTTACTATGTTGCTGAGGGTGACCTTGATTTCTGATCTGCCTCCACTCCCCAGTGCTTGGCTGACAGGTGTTGACCACCGTGCCTTGCTCCCTTGTTCCTCTACTTCTTGCCATGCTTGCTTCTTAGACCTGCCAGGCACACCCTCAGATCTGTGGCGCTGCATCCCACAGCAGGTCTCTTAGTAAATAAGTTAGTACCCTGCTTCCTAAAGATAAGCTCTCTGTGAGCACTTGCCTTGAGTGCAGCTGTGACAGGAAGCCTCCTCCCCAGCACTGCTACCGTCACAGTGCCGGACATGTGCAGATCCTATTACAGCCTAGATAGAAGAAGTGCTTTGAGCATGCACTCAGTGGAGGGCCTTGTAGGGTGACAGCTGTGACAGAGCAGATGGTGGAAACCAGGTCTGCCTTAATTTTTTTTGTGTTTCTCTGATATACAGAATTAGTGAATCCTCGGCAAACTGAACCTTCAGTCAATACAGGCTGTGCCCAGCAGAGACCAAAGAGACAGAGTTCAGCTTCACAAAGATCGTCGTCTCTCCCACCCTCCAGTCGTAAAGCCAACACTCCAAGTAAGAGATTTGTGTGCCTTGGGCTGGGGAGAGTGGCTTTTCCCATGCGCTTTTCGGATTTCAGTTTGCTTTCCGCCCCAACAGAGGATGTCTGAGTACAGGGTCCCTGAGAACAACCAGAGAATGAGATTGTCTGAGTACAGATACCTCACTTTATGCCAGGCCTATGGTGGAGGTTTGTCATCCCAGCTATCTGGGAGGCTAAGGATCAAGGATCAAGGCCTGCCTGAGCTACTGCATGAGTTCAAGGCTAGCCTGCAGCTTTGCAAGACCCTGACTTAAAATAAAAAGTAGAAAGGGCTTGGGATGTAGCTCAGTAGTGGAGCCCTGGCCTAGCATGGATGTGGTCCTTAGCACCATAAGAAGTTGCTTTAGAAAGTTTAAAGCAGGTTGATCTCTTTTGAGCTCTAATTGAGACAATTACAGAGGTGAGAAGATGCTTCTTACATATCTGATGTGTCTGTCTTCCCTAGCTTTTCCTCCCCACAGTTCCAGGCTGTTCTAAAGCTTAAGCATTGACCTTTCATTTCCCCTTTTGTACCCGCTCAGGGGAGTCTGTATCTCCTGTGTTCAGGAGCAGGCACGGCTGCACCACATTTTTGCCTTATTTCCACTTGACTTCTAAAATCCTGAAGAACCAGTTTTGAGCTACAGTGCTGAGACTATAGTCTGGATACTAAAGTGTCAGCAGGGATTGCTGGTAGATATTAGAGTTATGGGTTGTTTTATTTTCACTTTGTGTCCTCTTCAATACCATCAAGTTTTGTTATGGAATTTCTTTCTTTCTTTTCTTCTTCCTTTTTTCTCTTTCTTTCTTTCTTTTTTTCTTTCTTTCCTTCTTTCTTTTTTGGTGTTTTGAGACAGGATTTCTCTGTGTACCCCTGGCTGTCCTGGAACTTGCTCTGTAGACCAGATTTACCTTAAATTTACAGAGATCTGTCTGCTTCTGCTTCTTGAGTGCTGAGATTAAAGGCTTGCCCTATCACCACCTGGTGAATTTTATTATTTTTAAAATTAGGAATAAGTTCTGCCAGCACAAATACAGGTGAAAATCATATTTCTTCTCTGTTTTCCTCTTTAGCAAAAAGAGAGATTATGTTAACACCAGTGACTGTGGCTTATAGTCCTAAGCGATCCCCTAAAGAAAATTTGTCCCCAGGATTTAGTCATCTACTTAGCAAACATGAAAGCAGTCCTATTCGGTAAGTTCTGTAAAGTTGTTGAATTTTAAAATTTAAAAAAATTATTCATTTTCAAAACATTTCATTGATTTACTGTGTGTGTTTGCATGTGTGAGCGTGTGCACGTCAGAGGATAGCTTGTGGGAGTTGATTTTCTCCTTCCAACATGTGGGTTTCAGATATTGAATGCAGGGCATCAGGTTTGGAGGCAAGTATCTTTACCTACTGAGCCATCCTATTGGCCTCATTATTGATTTTGAACCATCAATATAGCTTTAGCTATTACTGATTCTCCAGTTGTCATTGGGGATCTGTGACCTTAGGTCATTTATGTGAATATCATATGTAACATAAAGTATTATATGTGAAAATAAGATTGTTTGTTTGTTTGAGACATGGTTTCTCAGTGTAGCTATGAGTGTCCTGGAACTCTCTCTGTAGACCAGGCTGGCTTTGAACTCACAGAGATCCAGCTGCCTCTACCTCCCGAGTGCTGGGATTAAAGGCATGTGCCACCACTGCCTGGAGAAAATAATTTTTCACTATGGAAACTTGCCACTGCTAGCTCTTAAATGCTGCTTCAGCATCTCCTCAGATTTTAGTGTGGAAGGGTTCTTTGTGCTTCTGCCAAGGCATGTGATACAGGGACATTTTGGTGCCAGATGGTGGGTGTGACGGTAGCAGGTGCCTGTCTCAAGATGCAGTGAACCCATCTTGAAGTAGCCCAGCACTGAGTGATGAACTAGGAAGAACCGCCTCCTGGTTCTAGACCCAGTGGCCTAAGCACAGCAAGACTCACTTTCCCCTTCTGACCTGCTGTTCTAGAAGTTTCTTAGGGAGATTAGATGAGGCACAGTAGCCAGTGCCTTAAGTTTATAATGTGGAAATAGAACTTCATGTCAGGAAAGACATTCAGTTTCAGCTTTGAAAATCACACAAGTAGGGCTGGAGAGATGGCTCAGTGGTTAAGAGCACTGCCTGCTCGTCTAAAAGTCCTGAGTTCAATTCCCAGCAACCACATTGTGGCTCACACCATCTGTAATGAGATCTGGTGTTCTCTTCTGACCTGCAGGGATACATGCAGACAGAACATTGTATACCTAATAAATAAAATTTAAAAAAAACAAAAACAAAAAAAACCACACAAGCAGTTTTTTTCTTTCTTTCTTTTTTTTTTTTAAAGAAAATATGTGATAGCCAGGAGGCAGTGGTGGTGCACACTTTTGATCCCAGCACTTGGGAGGCAGAGGCAGGTGGATCTCTGAGTTCGAGGTCAGCCTGGTCTGCAAGACCTAGTTCCAGTTTAGGCACCAAAGCTATACAGAGAAACCCTGTCTCGGTTAAAAAAAAAAAAAAAAAAAAAAAAAAAAGAAAAAAAAAAATTTAAAAAAATAAAAGAAAATGTGACTATATGAGTTTCTGGGGTGCCAGCTCATCTCTCTAGTGAGGCAGGAAAACTTACTTCATGTTTTTCTCACAAGTAACTTGCTTCATTTACTAGATTTGATATCCTTTTGGATGATTTAGATACCGTTCCTGTGTCCACACTACAAAAAACCAGTCCAAGGAAACAGCTCCAGTTTCTTCCTCTAGATGACTCGGAAGGTATCTTTTCCTAAAAATTACTAGTTAGAGTGAGAGGCATTTGTTTTCCAAGATTCCAGTTGTCTTTGCAAAGCTCTGTAGACCGCCTGTGCCTGTGCACTCACAGTGTGCTTGCTGTGTGTGCGTGTTCATGGGCAGGTTGGGAAGCAGAGGTGTCATCAGCAGGGTAGTGCTGCTTAGCCCCCCTCACACTGTGTAGCTGATAAGCTACTCAGGCTGTGGGTAATTTTTATTTAACAACTTTAAACCTGGAATAAATTTACATGGTATATGAAGTCACTGGTTAGGTCCTAATAATGTTAACTGTAAATATTCTTCAGCTGGGGGTGGTGGCTGCAGCAGGAGAATTACTATGACTTCGAGGTCATTTTGGGCTACCTAGTGAGTTCTAGAGCAATCTGGATTAGTGTGAGACTCTGTCTCAAGAAACTGGCATGGGGGAGGAAAGAAAAGATGCTGCTTATTTTCATTATGTTTTAGGCCATATAGCAATTTCTTTCAGGAAGTGAGGTTGAGCAAGATATGTATTCAGTCTATTAAAAAAATTAGTAAGAAACATAAGAAATTTCTTTCTTTTCTGACAGAACAAAAATACTCACAAAAAGTCAGTGACAACCCTGTTAATCATAGCTCTTGTCCTGAACCCTTGCCAAGTGGAGTGAAGAAAGTGCCCGCACGACAAGCCTGGGAGAAGAGTAAATCAGTCAGCCTTGAGCAGTGTAAGCCGGTGTCAGCAGCACTACAGGGTAACGATTTTGAATATACAGCAAAAATTAGGACCCTGGCTGAAACGGAGCGATTCTTTGATGAACTTACCAAAGAAAAAGACCAGGTAAAACTAATAAAATATAAAAAAAAAACCTCTTCCTGAACCTAATGCTTATATCTAGAGGGAATAGTCAGAAGGGAATTACTGAACTGGACATGGTAGCATATGCCTGTGTTTCAGCCCTTGGGAGGATGAGGTGTGAGGATCCTAAGTTACAGCTTGGGTTAGATGATGAGACCCTGTCTCCAAAACAAACAACAAATCAAACACACAACCACAAACCACTAACAGAAAAAGTCAAATATAGGAAGGGTGTCCTAGTCACTGTTCAATTGCTGTGAAGAGATACCGTGACCAAGGCAGCTCTGATTAAAAAACAAAACAAAAACCAATTGGGGCTTGCTTATGGTTTCAGAGGGTTAGTCCATCATCATGGCAGGGAGCATGGGGGCATATAAGCAGGAAGGTGCTGGAGAAGTAGCTGAGAGTTCTATGTACATTTAGATCTGCATGTAGCAGGAAGAACAACTCTGGGCTTGGCTTGGGCTTTTGAAAGCCCTTTCCTAGTGACACACTTCCTTCAGTAAGGCTATACCTTCTAACCCTTCTCAAGTACTGCCAATCCTGATAACTAAGCATTCAAATATGTGAGCCTAATGGTGGCCATTCTTTTTTTTTCTTTCTGTTTTTGTTTTGTTTTGTTTTGTTTTGTCATTTTTTTCAAGGCAGGGTTTCTTTGTAACTTTGGAGCATGTCCTGCAACTCACTCTGTAGACCAGGATGGCCTCAAACTCAGACAGATCCACCTATCTCTGCCTCCTGAGTGCTAGGATTAAGGGCATGCTCCACCACCACCCATCAATGGAAGTCATTCTTATTCAAAGCACCACAAAGAACATCACTGTGTCAGACTTGTCATAAGGAATTCCCCTTGTGTACAGTACATGGAACACCAAAACTCCACTAGACATGTCCTTGAGTCACACTATTGTTATTAACTGAGTACATAGGGAACTATGTTAAGCCAAGATGGACAAGAAAATGCTAAACTGAAATCTTTTCTTTCCCTGTGTCAGAAAGCTCAGTGCCAATAATTAGAATTCTTTTGTTTTTATTTGAATACTTTCTCTTGTTAACAGATTGAGGCAGCATTAAGCCGGATGCCTTCTCCTGGAGGAAGAATCACTTTACAAACAAGACTGAATCAGGTGAGACAGCTTAGCTGGGAGCTGCAATAGGGACTAGATAGACTCAGTGCTCTAAGAAGCATCGTAGGGCATAGTGGACTGTGTTAGTTACTTTTCTAGTGCTGTGATAAAATATCATGACCAAAGCAACTTATAGAAGGAAGCATTCATTTTGGCTTATGGTTCAGAGTGTTACTTTGTGAAGGCAAAGTGAAAGGTGGTAGTTATCTGTGTAACATGTACAAGGTGCTGGCTTTTATGTCCAGCCCCAGTGATTAAAGAACATCCATCTTCACTGAGCAGTGGTGGTGTACACTTTTAACCCCAGTACTCAGGAGGCAGAGGCAGGTGGATCTTTGAGTTCAAGGTCAGCCTGGTCTATAGAGCAAGTTCCAGGACAACCAAGGCTACATACACAGAGAGACCATCTCAAAAAACAAATAAACAAAAACCCATTCTGTTATTAAGAATCATGCACCGGGGGGGGGGCTGGAGAGATGACTCAGAAGTAAAGAGCCCTGGCTGCTCCTCTAGAGGTCCTGAGTTCAATTCCCAGCAACCATGTGGTGGCTCACAAATATCTACAGTGGAATCTTGTGCCCTCTTCTGGCATAAAGGCATACATGCAGATAGAACACTGTATAAATAATAAATAAATAAATCAATAACATCTCTTTAAAACAAAACAAAACAAAGAAAGAATCATGTAATGAAGTGGAGATTGTGGCTCAGCACAAGCCATCCCTGTGCTTAGCAGGCTGAGGCAGTACGATCCCAATTTGGAAGCCAGGCTAGGCTGTTAAATCCAGCTAGGTTGAGAGTACTTGCTTGTTATATAAAACCCTGGGTTCCATTCGCAGTACCACACAAAACTGGGTATAAGGACTGAAGGTGTGGCCCAGTGGTGGCAGAATATTTCCTAGCACATGCAAGGCCCATGTTCATTCCCCAGTAACACACAGTAATAATAAATTAAAAAATTAGATATAGAGATGCACATATCTGATCCCAGTATTTGACAGATGGAGGCAGGATCAGAAGTTCAAAGTCATCACCAGCCATATAGTGAATTCAACTTTGGCATGGACTACTTGAAACTTGCCTTTATTTATTTTTAATCCTTTAAAAAATTATTTCATTTGTACGAGTGTTTTGCCTACATATCTGTGCGTTGCGCATATGTCTGTGCACTACATGTGTGCCTGGTGCTTAAGGAGGCCAGATGAGGACATCATAAACCCTGGAACTGGGATTATAACCCATTGTGAGCCAACATGTAGGTGCTGGGCATTAAATCCAAGTCCTCTGTAGGAGCAGGAAGTGCTCTTACTACTGAGACAGTTTTTCATCCCCCCAGAGATTATGTTAATGAAAAGAGAAATAACCTGCTAATACCATTTTTTAAGTTTTTTCTTTTCTTTTTTCCCCTCTACATTAGCGGGTTTGGTTTTAGGATTCTTTTAGACAGGTTCTAGACTGACTTTGAACTCATCAGCCTCTGTCTCAGCTTCAGGAGTTGTGGGATTATAAGTGTGCACCAGCATGTCCAGTTATCAGGTGTTTTGTTTTTAAAACAACTCATATAGAATATAAACAATGCAGATGCAAGTAGAAATCAACACAGACTTTCTGGAATGCAGAATTTATTTTGCATTTCTTTGAACTGAAGCACTTCTTTTTTTTTTTTTCTGTCTGCCAGTGATTGCAAAGTCAGTATTTATAGATACTGCAAAGAGATATGTTTAAGAAATGTACTGCGGCCTTATTTATAGTGTCCAAAATTAGAAGCAACCTAAATTTCTACTGAAAGATTCCTGGTTAAACGTGTTACTTGTGAAGGAATATTGTGCATTAATTTAGGAGGATATTGTTGGAAGATACTTTATAATATGCCAAGAAAGTTCAAAGGAAACTATTTGAAATATTCCATTCTGAGTTTTTCCTTTCTAAAAAGGATATGCATATATGCAAGAGAAACAGGGAAGAGGGTGTTGGTCCTTCCCTTTGCTCCTCTGTCTTCTTAGTGTTCACAATATATATTCAATCCTTTTACTAAAATTGTTAAATATAAAAATTTCAAGTTCTAATCTGGGCAGTGGTGGTTTATGACTTTAATCCCAGCACTCAAGGGGCAGAGGCAGGTGGCTCTCTTGTTCGAGACCAGCCTGATCTACAGATTTTGAGGACAGGCAAGGCAATACAGAAAAACCCTGTCTCGAGGGGCCAGGGAATCAAGTTCTATTTCGGGATGCCATTTGTGTCAATACAGAATAAATGATCTAGAATGGTAAATATATATTCCAGGTATCATTAACTGTACTTCTTTATTATAACTGTGAACTCTTTTCTCTTGAAGTCTCTGCTGTTTTTTTCTTTTCTTTCTTTCTTTTTTCTTTTTTTTAATGAGACAAGATTTTTCTGTACAGCCCTGACTGTCCTGGAACTTGCTCTGTAGACAGACTGGACTCAAACTCACAACCCACCTGCCTCTGCCTCCCAAGAACTGTTATTATAGCCCTGAGCCACCATGCCCAGCTTCAATAATGTTTTTAAGGGAGAAGTTCTGACAGATTATTTGGCTACAGCTGCACTCAATATGCACACTTCTCTGGTGACCCATGGAGAGCACATTTAGGCTTCAAAATACTGATCTCAAGTCATTACCACCACCCCTGCCTATGGCTGCACTGCTGTACAGAATTCTCATATGCCAAGAGTGCCAAAACAGACCAAGGATGGTTAAAGTGCCGTGCTTATTTAGAAGGGTTGAGAAGCCGATTCATTGTTCAGTTTAAGAAAAATAGTGTTGGCCAGGTGGTGGTGGTGCACACCTTTAATTCCAGCACTTGGGAGACAGAGGCAGGCAGATCTCTGAGTTCGAGGGTAGACTGATCTACATAGCAAGTTCCAGAATAGCCAGGGCTACATAGAGAAAAACCTGTCTCAAAACAAACAAAAAGAATAATAATGTCAATATGATGGCTTACGTAGAAAGAAAAATTTGCTGTTTCGACTTTATACTTGCTTTCGTGCTGCAAGCCAGAGGTCTGTAGGTGGCAGTTGGCTGTAGACCCAGAGGACTTGGTGTGGACTCTCATGACACCTTTCCCATTACTTTTACCTAGGAAGCCTTGGAAGATCGTTTGGAAAGGATCAATCGTGAACTGGGTTCAGTTCGAATGACACTCAAGAAGTTTCATATCTTGCGCAGCTCTGCAAACCTTTGAGATTGGTAGCCATTAAATCTGAGACATTTTTGTTTGCACTGATGTACAGTTCTGCACTCAGAAAAGACAAGCTTTTTGTACTGTTTATAAGACTTCAAACAGTAGTTTTACAATCATGTTATTCTTACACTTGCTATTTTATACTCAAATGGCCACATATTTTCAAGATATTTTTGTTTTATGCTCAGGAACCTCTTGTATATTTTACTATTTAAAAAGCATTATTTTTTAAATAGCGTATGTCTTCAATTTCTATCAACAATAAGAAAATGTAAACAGGAGGTGGCTTGTTGCTAAGGAAATAGTATTATCCTTTTACAATGAACTTTGCACACTGATTTTATAAACTTGTTCTACATTGTAAATATAATTCATTTTTAAAATAAATGCTTCACAGCTTTCATAGGGATAGACTAACATGTTGAATATTAAAAAATTATAGTATAATTTGCATTTAGATTCTGTAGAAGTGTTTTAGAAATGATAACACAGTTTCTATGTTAAACTTATGCCTTGTAATGAATAGTAGAACGGTTAAGCCAGCAAGATGGCTTAGCAGGTAGAAACGCTTGCCACCAAGCCTGAGGACCATTTTGAAATCCAGGACCCACATATGAGAAAGAAATTACTTTTGTAAATTGTCTTCTGACCTCTACATATACACTTCGGCACGTTCACACACCAATAAATAATTAAACATAAAAATTAATATGACTTGAACACTGGAGAGTTTAAAAACTACATATAACTTGTTTGATTTCTCTGAAAATATTTTTAAGGAAAGAAAACAAAGATGAAGAGCAGCAGGTGGCGAGCTGGGGTTTTCTGCCCCCATCCAGGATGTAAGTTGTGTCACAGCTTGGACAGTTTCCAGTGTAGCTCCAGTTTCTATTAAACATAAAGCTTTAGCTTCCAAAGCCATTACCCTCTTAACCTCACTGACCTACCATTCCACCCTTGCCAAAAAGAAAAAGACCTGCGTAGTAGCTGCTATGATAACTGTTGGTCTGGGTTCAGAGCACTCTACTCTGCCTGATAAAGGACAGGGTTTATGTCCAGATAGAGCTTGGTGTTTTTCCCAGGGCCCTGCTGTGGCCCATAGCCCACCACATGGGTGGCATTCCCTGCTCTCTCTGAGAGCATCATGTGGGCAGGAGAAGCTTTTCTGGTCGAGGAGCAGCACGTATTCTGTTTGTGTTGGGACTGTTGGTGATATCTGCACTGCTCACCCCCTCACTTTCTGGTGACCAGTCCGAACTCAACACCCATGTTCTTGGAATCTGAGCTCTCATAGTTGATTTCCAGGGCTAGTGCTCAAGGTTTTGATTTTGGTTTGCCTCTGAGTTCTTTCCACGCATGTAGCTCTTCATATACATGTATAATGAACCAAGACATGCCAGCAATCCCATTAAGGTGTGTATGCCTCAGCAGAACATCAGGTGGTCTTCGAACATCTTCTGATCAAAGCTTTACCTGGCGATCGATCGGCCTGGACCCTGTCCTACTTGTGGGGACTCTCAGGTAGGAGGGCATCCTTGGGATAGGACTAAACCTTGGAGTTCACATTCCGTAACCAGTTGAAGACTTAATCAGGATTTCTTATCATTAGAAGTAAGTGCCTTTATTCTTGGTTTTTCTTTTAGCCTTTTAAAAATTATGTTACAGTAAAACAAGATTCATTTTAATCAAGCTCCTGTACAGCTTGTGTCTAGAGCTTATAAGGGGATAGACTATTTCTTAAGATGTCCCTGTAGGTGACATGCAGCATTCACGGCTGGAGTACAGTATGCCCAGTGGTAGAGTGCTTGCCTTGCATGTGAGGTCAACAAACAAGACAACTCGAACAATCCCACCGTGTTTTTGTTTATCTCATTGTTTTCTCCTTTTATTGTACAGTCTACTCTATTCTCAAGAAGCAGGAGATTGCCACTTCAGAAGAGATGGTAGCTTTATCTTGCCAAGGAGTTATCTTCTTAGGTGCCTATAATTGGCTTATTCCAAAAAAGGCATTAAGTTCCATCAAAACATCTTCTGTGCTTCTCAGAAAGCATATGCTTTGGTTTTTGAAGTGTGTAATAGATTTAAGCTATCAATTAATTATTTGAAAAAGAAATTTTATTCTTCATAGCAATGAAGAAAGACACCAAGGAAAATTCTTGCAGCCGCCTTTCCCCTTAGTAATGCATATCTTAAGAACACTTGAATAACAATCAAGTTTGCCTCAAAGTGGGGAAGGTAGCAGTCTTAAAGAGCATCTGCTGCCCAAGGGAGCCAAACTGTTTCTGTGCTGAGGTTATGCTGCAGCTAGTAAAAAACAAACCACCAAGAACCCCAGTGAGTCTGAGGCTTCTGGGAAGTGCCTTTTAAATGTGGAGATCTGCCCTTCCTTCTCAGAGGCCAGCTACAGAGCTTGGAGGGATGACTCTCCCTCCAAGCCAGACAGACAGACCTGGTTATACCCTGACTCAGGCTGGCTTTCCTCACTTTATAGACCAAATGATAGGGGATTGTCCCTTTCAGCAGAAGGGGCCGATAGGCCAGTGCTTCCTTAAGTGTGTACCAAACAGCGTGTTTCAGATTCATCAATTCCTAGGATTTTGAGATAGTGTTTTGTTTTTTTTTGTTTTTTGTTTTCTTTTAAAGGCACATGCTAACGACTCCACCACTGAGCTATATTTCCAACCCAGTGGGTTTTTTTTTTTAAAGTTGATGGTTTTGTCCCAGCCACTCCATTGGGTTGTCATTTGTGTTAGGTGGTCTATGTTGTCTTTGCTCTTTGATAAAAGTTAAGGGTTTTCTTGGATTGTAAATGAATTTCCTTGGTATGTTATTTATTGGTTGACTAAAATTATAAAATGTTAACTCATCAAATGTAAATTCAGAAAGCATTTTGATCTTAATGGATGGAAGGGTATTACGGGACATAAATATTGGCTTTTTCCATTATAGTTTACTGCAAGTTTAACCAAAATAATTTTTCCCTCAAATGTTTTATGATTAGACCTCTAAAGAGGATGGACCACCTGGAAGAAGTGCCTGCCACCGAGTCTTAGATTTATATGAATTTACAAGCATCGAGAGACTAGTGGAATCCTTTTAACATATAAAAGCCAGGTGCTTTGCCAAATCCTGTGAAGCCTGAACCCAAATATGTAGTGAAATCAGACATTTTCATCGTCTTAGTATCATATGACTCAACAGTTTCCACTAATTTTAAATGTGCCATTTTGTACTGCAAGTCTTTAAAACCTTAAAATAAGTGGCACGTGGAGACCTTTCGGAATGAAGGGAGAGCATTCATCAATGGGTCATGCACACTTCTGGATGTTGCAAGCCTGGCTAAACCCTGGCATTGCACAAATTTTGACAGGAGTTATTTCCTGCTCTGCCAAGAGCAATACGGAAGTTTAACACCTTGTCGAACTAGTCCAATGCTTGAGGACCTCACTAAAACCCTTTCCCCATATATTTGCCCTTTATTTCACTGGAGACTTCAAATACAGGAGGAACCAAGCCATAACTTCGCATTTGCTGAACATTACCTACCATGCCCTCACTATAAGATTTCAAAGGTTAATTGTATTCTACTTACATTGGATACTTTGACTGTAACCCATAATGTGAAAAACAATTGCTTATACATTGCTGCTGTTGATCAGGCAAGTGCTTATTATGGTTGTTTGTTTTTTTTTTTGTTTTAAATCTGGTCAAACACCGGAATAATGAAGTTGTAAGCTCTGTGAGAGCAGGGACCATGTCATCTTCCATCTTGCATCTAGGCACCCAATAAATATTTGTGGATCTGAGCTGCCTCGTGGTATTTGTGAGTTTATTCACGGTGGCAGTAACAGCCAGCTTTTAATGGTAGTCTTAAGTACCAGGAGTTGTCTGTTCGGTTAGCAGCCATGGAGATACTAAAATTAATAAAGGAAGTCAATTCCAAGCAATCAGTAACACCCTGGAGATGTGTGTGTCAGTGTGTGTCTAGAAAGCACCTTTGGGCACCTTTTGGTGATTCCAGGGTTGAAGTATTTGATGGACACTTTCAGTTGTCTGGGTGTGGGCATTCTGTAAACTGCATTTCTTGCCCTCTCAATCTCTACTTGGCCCGAAGAGATGAAAACGTAGTATGGTCCCCTGCTCCTCGGCTTTATCTGGACACTGGACTCCTCTCTCTAGTCCCTATAGTCAGCCATCACTAGGTGTTAGGTGTGTGCTTTAATTTAGGTCCACAACATAAACTTTTGGCAAGCAGGGCTTGCCTTGTGCAACCCACAAAAACCCGTAACCTTTTCTTTGACACGCACCACGTACCCTCTTGGTCTCAATGTGGCAACCAGAAAGAGAGGTGGGAGAGCTAAGGGAGAGGTGCATCACGATGAAGCTATTTCTGGACCCGAGCCTGCTCTCTGGGAGGTGGGGACCTGAACTGCACACGCTGTCAGGCGGGCACTACTCCCGCCGCTGATGGCCAAGAGGCCACTTTACTTTTTCCCGCTCGGAGCCTTGTGCAAAGGACTCGACGGCTGTAGGCAAAAGACCACGGGTTTCCACACGGCGCGGGGCCTGCCCCAGTATTCCCAGCGCCCCATGGCTTTCGCTACAGCTTGTTTCCTTAAGTGTGTCGTCTGACTCCTGAGGAGTTTAGTCAGAAACAAAACCCCGAAGCCGCTAGCTCCGCCAGCACCGGGGTCCCTCCCCGAGCGGTCGCCTCTCGACCTCCCGC